ATAATATATATTAAGTAATCGAGTGTTGTTTTCGTCGAATTAATATAGAAATAAATATCAGTGTTTACGTGAAAGCAATTATATGTGTCAATACACGACCCATTTTATGAAGTCTTTTACATCGTTAACGTAACGCACTCCAAAACATATAAATGAACTAAAATTAAAAAAACATTCAAGTCTAAGAAAGGCCAGAGGCTCCTGACTTGGGACAGGCGCAAAAATGCGGCGGGGTTAAACATGTTTTTTGAGATCTAAACCCTCCCCCATATCTCTAGCAAATGTAGAATAAAGAAACACACAGCAATACGCACAGTAAAACTCAGTTAAAAAGAAGTCCGAGTCCGATGTCAGAATAGGTAATAAAAAAGCAAAATGACAATGATACATGAATTAACAAAAGACTACTAGCAGTTACTGACATGCCAGCTCCAGACCTCAATTAAACTGATTTGAAGATTATGTCTGCATCATATGAAAATCAAGCACAATCCCTCCCGTTATGGGTTTAGTATCATACCATTATAAATCATATGAGAAGAACATAACCCGGATCATGCCAACAACTGGTTTTAGAATAAATGTGTTTATGTCCGATGCAAAGACCCTATAAATGAATCAATATTAATACCAAAATGCCTTCCTTAATGACCTGACAACAGTATCGTTAAGCTGTAAACCCTAAATGATAATGATAAGGTGATCTCAACATGCAGTTTTGCACAAAATGTAAGACGTTTGAAGTCCTACTGCAAATATGTAATAAAGAATTTTGAAATATAGCTACTGATGTTCGAAAAACTTAATTCAGGTGACGCTTACCCTGTCGATTTATCCTGTCTTGATCATGTTTTTGGAGTTCACGGATTCCCTCTGTTCATATGTGATGCGTTGATTTGTTCCTTCTTAATCTTATGAACATTTGAATGATATTGATAGTAGATAGATATAGGAAGATGTGGTATGAGTGCCAATGAGACAACTCTCCATCCAAGTTACAATTTATAAAAGTAAACCATTATAGATCAAGGTATTGCCTTACATTTATAATACGCTTTTTATAATTTTGAATTAAAAGTATTATCATATCTACTTATTTTACTATGTATTTTACAAAATAACGTACCAATTTACTACTTATTTTGCATTATGGAAAAAAGCAATTGTCCTGAACAAATAATAAAGTAAATTAAGGAAATTTTCTAAATCGATGGACAAAAGACCCATTAAAGTAACAAACACAAACTAAAAGAATCGCACAAAATGTTTAATTGAAATAATCATTTCAATTTATCAAGTTTAATCTGAAGAGTCTTTTATTTTTAGGGAAATGCAGGAATACTTATTCATATGTAAAAGACAAAAATCAATCAAAATATATAAAAGGCACAATAATAGGATTGTTAGACACTGAAAGCACAATTTATAAATAAATCATGCTTCAACCGTACAAGTCAAATCTATCAACAAAGATGTAGACAAAGATTAACAATAGCTCATATCAAGTGTATCAAGTGTACAATCAGATTGTACATAATTAAGTTCAATAAAATCTATAGACATAACTCTATTGATAACTGTGAACAAAAAGATTTACAATGAACTACTCGATTACTGATTACTGTCAACAAAAAAGATTTACAATGAACAACTCGATAGAACAATTCATAGCGAAGAAGAATCAAAACTATACTGTTGCACACATATGTTTTTTATGGAATAATTACAGGGTTTAATAGGCATTAGCTGTCAAATTCATGTTCACCGATGTACTCAAATTCTCATATATGATTTATAGGACACTAAAACGTATAACAAATTACAAAAAGTCTAAAACAAACAATTAACAATGCGTGGTCTCGATAATATGTCTCAGCATTTCGTGTGTATTTTAGTCTAAACGCTATCTAATTAACCATCGAGATGGCCTCCGTAGACTGCCGACGGTCATACAACCCAATATAAATATGGATATAGATAAAAAGCGAGCACGTACAATTGAATTTTTCATAGATTAAAAAGATAATGTTTATCATCGTTTTTACCTGTACAAAAATGATTTTTTGTGGATCGAATTCATCAACAAAATGGTTCACCTTTGGTTCACTTTCAATGTTGACATTCTTTTCACTTAAAAAGCTGAACACGCCTAGTACATGCGTAAACGATCTCCAACTAAGTAATTAGACTGAAGGTAAAATGAATACGGATTAAATATGGTTAAATTTTTGACTTGCAAGTCAATAATACACCAGCAATGCTTTTGAGTTTATTATGTCAAATTTGGGCCAAACTGACTTCTTATTACGAAATTCCGCTTTTATCTATACCTGAAGCAAAAAGAATCGTATTTTGATTTTTTTGTTATTATCGTAGCTAATACACCCTCAAAGAGGACAATATTCAATCCTGTTATCCTAGTGTTTTAAATTGATCCGAAATAAATTTTCAGGGACCACTATCTAATAACTGTTTCCTTCTTTAAAGAATCAACATCAATTGTTGATGTATTTCTGTGACCAGTACTGTCAATCATGAATAGAAAAAATATAGCCTGCAGACTTTGACTTTGCTACGGTAATAATAATAATGGCAACAGCGATAATGACTTTTGAAAAGTATAAAACGTGAATTATCTTTCTAATCACGAATGAAAGGCTAAGGCATGATTGAGTGGCGTTATTTTCCCTATAAGCAAAAGCGTATTAAGCTTGTTAATAATCTCATTATATCTTATTTCTATAGAAAGCTCAGCAAGGAGTAGTGTAAGTGGAACGTATCGGAAATAATCTCATTACATCTCATTTCTATAGATAGCTCAGCAAGGAGAAGTGTAAGCGGAACGTATCGGAAGATGTATCAGGCACATATAATTATAGTTAACCTTAACAATTGAACGACTTATCATATTATGTCTATTTATACAAAAGTCAACTGAGGTTTAATATGTATTTCATTTTAATTTCGTACAAGGTGGACAAAGGTTGATGCAAGTCTAGCCTTAGTGCCCAGTTAAATGTTTGATATGTCATTTCAGTCAATCCTAATAAATATCATTCTTAATGAAGCGGTTATAATTGCTATCTTATTGTACGTTGAAGACCCAAGATGAAATAATTTACGTAAAACAATGTTTTTTAGAGAAGTCTTGTAATATTTTTAAGAAATTAATTGATTTAATTGTAAATTTTTGATGCATGTCATGATGATGAATTTAAGTAATGCATATGTCGCAATTCCGCGAATGAAGTCCAAATTTGAGATATCGGCTATTTTTTCACGTAATTTTTGTTTTATGCTTTTTTATAGTTGATACGTTTGGCAAAGAATACAATTGGTCAAACATTTCATGTTTTGCGCATTGTGAAATATGTGTATTCAATATGAAAGTTCTATACATTTTCTTATCCACAAGAATGACATGAAATGCTACATTAGGCAAGAATATATAAACACAAGATAAATGTTGTTTTAATACTACTATTTTGTAGTTTTTGGTACTTTACATGTAAAATTTGATAAGACATTTATGTGATTGATTACACATTGTTTATACCTACTTAGATACTTAGGTTCTAATATGTTTGTCATTAAACATTTGATGTGATAACGTTTTGTTTTATTTAAAATCGTCGACATAGTTACTAGAATATGCCCATTAGAATAGGTAATGAACCATATTTAATAACCAATATAGGTATTACTATATACTATATATTACTATATATCCGCATACTAGTATAAGGATAGCGTAAGGATACACTAATGACTTACAAGTCAGGTTTATATACAAAACTTTTTTTATATTGTCATACTGGATAATCGAACACGTCAAGTTTATGTCCACTACTTTTTATATTGTCATATTGGATAATCTAACAGGACATGTTTATATACAATACTTTTCTTATATTGTCATATTTGATTATCTAACAAGTCAGGTTTATATCCAAAACTATTTTATATTGTCATATTAGATAATCTTACACGTCAGGTTTTATGTATAATACTTTTCTTATATTGTCATATTGGATAATGTAACACGTCATGTTTATATCCAATGCTTTTCTTATATTCTCATATTGTATAAACTAATGAGTCAGGTTTATTTCCAATACTTTTTTATATTGTCATATTGGATAATTTAACACGTCACCTTAATATACAATACTTTTCTTATATTGTCATATTTGATGATCTAACGAGTCAGGTTTATATCCAATACTTTTTTATATTGTCATTTTGGATAATTTAACACGTCAGCTTAATATACAATACTTTTCTTATATTGTCATATTTGATGATCTAACACGTCACGTTTATATCCAATTTTTTTTTTTATATTGTGGTATTGGATAATTTAATACGTCAGGTTTCTTTACAGTACTTTTTTAATCGTCATCGGGATATACTGTCATGTATAAGTTAATATTCGGATATGTTGTCATGTATGAATTAACATCCGGTTAGGTTGTCTTGTATAAGTTTACATCCGATTATTTTGTCATGTATAAGTTAGCATCTTGGTATGTTGTCAAGTATCAGTTAACATCCGGGTATGTTGCCATGCAGGAGTTAACATCCGGGTATGTTGTCATGTATAGGTTAATATCCGGGTATTTTGTCATGTATTAGTTAACATCCGGATATGTTGTCATGTAAAAGTTAACATCCGGATATGTTGTCATGTAAAAGTTAACATCCGGATATTTTGTCATGTATTTATTAACATGCGGGTATTTTTTTATGTTTTAGTTAATATCCTGATATTTTGTCAGTATTTAGTTAACATCCGTATATTGTGTCATGTATTAGTTAACAAACTTGGATAAAAACAGTAGTTACAATTCAATGTATAGTGTTGTGTTGCATTTTAAGCATGGCACACGTTACACACAGATTTTACTGTCGCTACTAAGTGATCATTAATCATTAATAATTTTTCCTAAAAAAAGAATTAACAACAACAATCTCAGTTAAGTAAGTCAAATTGTACTTACGTGTGCCATCAAACTTGGTTGCTATGGTATCAAGAAATGTGTTTTGCTGTTGGGCTAAAAAACCCTTTCTTGCCGTCATAATCCCTGTTAAAGTAACTTCTTTAATCCATCATATATTGGCACAATCGGTTTTTTTTCCACAGAGAATTACAATGATATCCAGTTTTATAGTTGTCGATCACAAACAATGTTTTTTCTGTAACAGACTACTAAAACACCATATAAAATACTTCTGAATAAGATGAATTCATGCAGTTCGTCAGCTGAAAAAATATGTTCGAATGAATAAATGACTTTAAAAAAAGATAAAAATAGTCATATTATAAATTAAGTCTAATTTTCAAATTTATTAAATTTGTAAGTATCAAATCACGAAGATTGCGACTTCGTTTAGGTTAGAGTTACCTTTAAATGTATATAAATAAATAAACTCATCATAGAAACCAGAATAAAAAAATTGATACGTAAAACGCTCGTCTACAATAGACTGATCAGTGACGCTCGAATCATAAAAGTTTAAAGGGCTAAAAAAAGTTCAAAGTTGAAAGCATTGAGGACCCAAAGGTCCAAAAGGTTTTGTTACATGCATCTAAGGTACTTTTTTTGTGGTAGAAAACCCTTTGTATTTCGAGAAAAAAAAGTTTTGTTAACACTTAATTTATGATTAATAAAAACTACAGGTTAGTTTCGTCAATTAATACTAATCAAACATTTTTTAGTCAAAACAAACAGCTTAATTTAAAATATAAAACGTACAAACGAAAACAATAAGGGCAAATCAATACAAAATCATAGGAATATATCCTGCACTTCACCAAAATAACTTTAGGTTATTTTATTAACCTTGCTTTATTTTGACGGTGTAGGGAATACATTCTGACCAATTAGTTTCAACATTTTAGTGGTAGGGTGATATTTCTCATAAAATCATTTCATATATTTACTTATATTTCATTAATTATAATCGTATAAAACAAATATTGTGCATATTAGTACATTGTATAAACTGAAACTATATGGTAAGTCACAACAGTTTCAATATAAGGCGTATGACCCAAAGATTAAAACATACAAGCGAACGACATCCTATATAAAATTATAAAGATATGGTTTGATTGCCAGTAAGTTAAACAAGAGAACAAATGACGCAGATGTAAGCACTTATAAGTCACTGCGATGCCTTTATTAGTGAAAAAACCCTATAGTAAGCTTTAAATGACCCTGACATGACAACATGTAGAATAAATCTAACGAGAAAACTATACGCTTAACTGTTGATAGAACAAACATGACAGACAGCAAGCAACCAACGTCAGCCACTTTGCTCGGGGAAGAACCTATTTTATTTTTTATAATTACTACAAAATTATAAACAAATTACCATAGTCAAATTATATATCCCTCAATTCCTGCTAGTACTAAAGTATTTGTTACTGAGGAGATGTCTAATGAGTGATGCATGCAGTGATGATAATCCATGCCCCGTTTGGTAGTAATACTTAAAAATAAAAACATTAAACACAATTGAGAACATTGCAACCAATAGAGCCTATATTGAAGAGCCTAATGAATCCACGATCATTTTTTATTGAGGGAGTTGCACCAATAGCTTATATATTAAGTTAAATAACATGATGAAGTGAAAGTTTTATCATTCAAACGATGTGAGACATGCAGTATTGGCTATCAGACAGAAGTAACCATCGAATAAAAAGATTACCAAAGGAAGCAATATAAACTTAAAAAATCAAGGCAACAATGGTTAAGCGATGTTCAAATTTGATAAATCCCTTAAAGTTAAAAAAAAAACAAAAAACAAACAGAAACTTATTATGGTGCTTGTGACACATTTTACTGGATATACTTCATCAGGCACACTCGTGGTTAGACTGATACATGTAATAATTGTATGCAATATATTCATGACACACAAACAGTATTGATTATAGGCATTTCGGGGCCTTTTATACCTTTTTATAGCTTTCTATGTCGTATGTGATTTGCTTATTGTTGAAGGCAGTATGATAACCTTTAGTCGTTAAATTTATCTCTGGTTGAGATTTATTTCATTGGTAATCATACCACATCTTCTTTTCTTTTCATAATGATACAGTTATTATTTTATTTACATCTTCAGAATTTAAATGCAATGTCAACTTATATAGATATAAGAAGATGTGGTATGATTGCCAATGAGACAACTCTCCATCCAAGTCACAATTAATAAAAAGGTAACCATTATAGGTCAAAGTACGGTCTTCAACACGGAGCCTTGGCTCAGACCGCACAGCAAACTATAAAGGGCCCCAAAAATTACTATTGTAAAACCATTTAAACGGGAAAACCAACGGTCTAATCTATATAAAGACGAGAAACGAGAAACACTTATGAACCACATCAACAAACGACAACTACAGAACATCAGATTCCTAACTTAGGACAGGTGCAAACAATTGTAGCGGGTTTAAACGTTTTAATGGTACCAAACCTTCACTCTTATCTGAAACAATAGTGTAACATCACAACTTAGAAAGACACAATATAAAATATCAATTTTTGTTTTATGTTTGTTTATAGTGTTTAGCATTAATTAATGCGTTATGAAAATATCAAATAATAACAAAGCAAAAATAAACAATCATTTAACGAAAACCTAATTAAGTGTGAACCGTATTTGCCGAGAAATATTTTTCTGTGGCTATTCCAGTGATGGTTTTATTGACTTTGATCAGCTATCCTTATTATCAATTTTACAGGTGAAATGGTTCTTTCCGCTTAACATGGTATTCAATATACATATTCTGTTAAAACGTTTACTTCAAAAGATTTTTGATTTGGTTTTCATGTATGTTTGAAATGTCATATGTTACGGACTAAAATTGTGAGCAAATGTGTCATATAAAATATTGAAATCTGTATTAAGATAACGTTCACTTAATATCTCTACGCCTACATCAACATTTTTTTATATTTAATTATCTTCATTGGAAATATTATATCTTATCCATATTGTCGGATGTGTATAAATCTGTTCCGTGTGTTCTTACTTCAGAACTTAAATTCGACTATTAGAATTAGAAAAAACCCATAGATATTTTCATTTGTTAGCAGCACTTATAAAATTGAGAATGGAAATGGGGAATGTGTCAAAGAGACAACAACCCGACCATAGAACAGACAACAGCAGAAGGTCACCAACAGGTCTTCAATGCAGCGAGAAATTCCCGCACCCGGAGGCGTCCTTCAGCTGGCCCCTAAACAAATATATATACTAGTTCAGTGATAATGAACGCCATACTAAACTCCAAATTGTACACAAGAAACTAAAATTAAAAATAATACAAGGATGACAAAGGCTAGAGGCTCCTGACTTGGGACAGGCGCAAAAATGCGGCGGGGTTAAACATGTTTATGAGATCTCAACCCTCCCCCTATACCTCTAGCCAATGTAGAAAAGTAAACGCATAACAATACGCACATTAAAATTCAGTTCAAGAGAAGTCCGAGTCTGATGTCAGAAGATGTAACCAAAGAAAATAAACAAAATGACAATAATACATAAATAACAACAGACTACTAGCAGTTAACTGACATGCCAGCTCCAGACTTCAATTAAACTGATTGAATTTCATTCTAAAACGTCATTTTGATAACAACCTCTTCTGAAATGTCTGAACATGAATTATTTAGTCATGTTCATTCTTTCAGTGTATTTTCAGACTTATCCACTACAGTAATTTCAATACTGTTCAGACGTATTGCTTGCATTCAGTCACAGAAAATACCTTAATAATCTATTGTTTAGTCTTTTCAGAGCTATTAAAATCAAAATAACCGTTTCAGATTAAAATGACAATTTCGGATCAGGATGACTGTTTCAGATTAAAATGGCTGTTTCAGATTAAAATTGGTTTACCAGTAGGGATGAAATTGTTATGAGTGTTAAAATGACCCCGTCGTCTTTTTCTTGAAAAAAGTGTCTAACATTGCCCAAACCACAATCTAGCTACGATTCATAGTTAATTTAAAACTGATGTCAGCCATTGACAAGAATGCTATGTAACCTACAATATGTCTTTAAAATAATAGCTTCAAAATGTATGCAATTTTATAAGACAACATATATAATGACCTTTTTTTTGGCCCATAAAGAGGATATTTATTCATTGGATCTTTAAGTGAGATCTTTTTTGAAAATTGTACGGACGAAATAATGATTAAATTGACAGTAACTGTGTACCAAAATAACCTTTACTCTCTAATTTTATCGTCTGTTGCTCCTTTCCCGATGGTGACATTTTGACTGATCATGTATTCCTAAGGCGGGTGATGCAATCATAACAGGATGCGCTTTCCATGTGTCAACACACCCGGTCTCGCTTCTTTTGGATTTCACACCATTCCTATAGTGTTTTGTTTGTCATCTTGACTTGTCTTTTTATTCGATTCATTCGATTTAGGAAGTTTATTCGATTTAAACATTGATAAACTTATGTAGCCTCTAATAAAACACGTGTATCAATGATGATACGTTTGTTATAGCCATATCTTGAATTTCTATTTACATTAATTACATCATCGTTGCAAGTTCTGAATGGATGTTTGCTTGGTATGATGGGTGTCATTATGGAGAATAAATTGTAAATACTTTCGGAGCATAAAAAGCTCATCCTTTTTATAAGTTCGTATTTTCAGGCTTTAGATTTTCGATGAAGTGTTTTGTTGATAGCTATGCGACTTGTGTATTTCTATTGTTCATGATATGATACATATATAGACAGATATTGAAAATAAAATAAAAAGATACCAAAAACAAACAGTCTAATACCACAAGTCTAAACATTAAGACAACACCATGACCAGTAGAATAGCGTAAACATCATGACCAATAAAAAGAAAATATCACTCGAATTCATCAGCGAAGAGCGGTAAATTTACTACGTTTACACCTTTATTTTCATTATAACGATACATACACCCAAAGGATAACCTGTGAAAAAGCTTTTATACCAAAGTCTTCCTCACAAAAATGTTTTTTTGTTGTTGTTATTAGCAGAAAAGCAAACCGTAGTCAACAGTAAGATGAAAACGAGAAATATTATTATCTAATAATAAAAAAACTAAAAAAAATATAAATTTAGAAAATATCTAACCTTTCACTAAATAGGGGGAAATTCCTCACATGTCTTACGCAAAATGTAAGGACTCCATCGCATGCTGGGTAGCATTGTACAAGATCCTTGTTTCAAAACATTGT